TGTCTATGCAAGTCCTCTGTCCATTTTTAATCAGATTGTTTTTGATATTAAGTTGTATAAATTCTTTATATACCTTAGACACTAATCCTTTATCAGATATACAATTTGCAAATATCTTCTTCCATTCAGTAGGTTGTTTTCATTTTCTTGATGGTTTCCATTGCTGTACAACAGCTTTTTAGTTTGATGTAATGCCATTTGCTTATTTTTCCTTTTGTTGCTCTTGTCTGAGGAGACTGGTCCAAAAAATATTGTTAAGACTGATGTCAAAGAGATTCAAGTCTTTAATTGATTGTGAATTTATTTTTGTATATGGCATAAGGCAGTTGTCTGGTTTCATTCTTTTGCATGTAGTTGTCCAGTTTACCAACATCATTATTGAAGAGCTCATTTTTTCCCAGTTGTATATACTTATCTCTTTTGCCATAGATTAATTGAACATATACGCATAAGTTTATTTTGGGGCTCTCTATTTTATTCCATTGATCTGTGTCTACTTTTATGCTAGTACCATGCTGTTTTGATTACTATAGATTTGTAGTATAGTTTAAAATCAGGGATCATGATAACTCCAACTTTTTTGTTCTTTCTTAAGATTGCTTTGGCTATTCAGAGTCTTTTGTGGGTTCATACAAATTTTAGGATTATTTATTTTGATGAAGTTTGCATCAAATGTATAGGTTGCTTTGGGTAGTATGGACATTTAAGCAATATTCTTGTAACCCATGAATATTCCATTCTGTCATCTTCAATTTTTTCATCATTGTTGACAGTATTTATTAATGCATTTAGAATAATGAAAGATGCCTTCATGCAGGAAATGAAAATGCTTATTTGCTTAATGAACCATTATGGTTATGACCGATTGGTTGAATAATGTTTACTTGATTTTATTGCCCTACTCCCATTTATATCCTGGAAGTCTTAAACCATAACTGGCCAAACCCAGAAAAAATAAAGGAACACCAAGTGCCAGCATTATTAGACCCAAAGAAAACAAGGGTTTAATTTAAAAAAAAAAAAAAGATTTTATTTATTTATTTTAAGAGAGAGGGGAAAGGAGGGAGAAAAAGAGGGAGAGAAACATTGATGTGCGAGAGAAACATTGATCAGTTGCCTCTCGCATGCCTCCTACCTTAGGGCTGGCCTGCAACACAGGCATGTGCCCTGACCAGGAATCAAACCAGCGACCTTTTGGTTTGCCAGGTGGTACCCCACACACTGATCTGTCAAGGCAAGGTTGTTCATTTGTTCTTTTTAATGTGTACAGTCTTTTATATAACAGTATAATTTTATGCCTTTCATTGAAGAAAATCTTTAGATTTTTTAGTCCAACAGTTGATGTCGCATTCATTTGGTCAGTAAGTATTTATTGAGGCACAATTTTAGGTTGTGAGTGGGACACAAAGTTTAAGGAGACACAGACCATGTCCTCAAGGAATTTAAGTCCATTAGAAAAGTTAAGGTACATACATAAATAATTATTAGCAATGTAAAATGTGATAAATTCCAGAAGAAGTATAAATTATCTGAGATTTCAGGAGAGAGATGGTAAAATGAATGTACAGGTTTCACTTCCTGGGACTGACCAGAAAGAGCAACCAAGAAGGGCATTGCTGAAGTGCTATGAACTTAGTAGAACCTAGGAAATCCTTCTGCTTTCTTTACTTTCCCACACACCTGTTCCCAGATGTTTAGTGTGTATCAAGTTCATCCCACAATTACATAAAAATACTTAAAGTGTAAGTCCTTCTTGGAGATGGAAACATATTGACTTGGATTTCACACAACAGTGTTAATAACCAATATCAAACTTTTCCCTAAGAAGAGATTTTATAGAAAGAAGAGGAGGAAGGAAGGCTAGAGATAGGTGTATAAGGAGTAGGTAGAAGGGACAACAGAGAAAGAAAATAGACACAAGGAGGAACTTCTGAGACTTTGTTTTGCAGTATTGCCTAGGTAGGCTTGAGAACAATCTGAGAATCAAAAGGATTTGACAGATTCACTTTCCTTTAGATGTTTGGGTATAGTAATTATGCGTTAAGATAAAGGTGGGTGTGCATGCAGTTTTATAAATATGTTTTTGTATTAATGTATATTTGCGTATGTGTTATATATACAAATGACGGAGATAAATGAGTGTATGTTTGTTAGACTAAATGTCTATTAGGAACATTCATCATTCAGTTTTGTCTTGGTGCTTCTGCAAAGAGAGTCAGGGCAAGAAAGTCTAGAGAAAAAGGGGGCAGTCCAAGAAGCTCAGGTTCATTGCGAGCTCCCATCATCTCAGTCGCAGGCACCCTAGGAAGACTTAGCTGATGCTGAGTTTCCCTCTATGTGGCTTTGTCATAAATCCAAACTACTTTGGATGTATTCTTCTTATGCCCTTCCCTCCCCAGCTACTAAAATATTTCAGCTGTCATAACCTATTAACATCACTTGTCTCTTAGGGCCGTCAGACTTCTTGAGTCATGACATGAGGCGTAGGGTCTTGTCATTCTTCATTCTGTGTCTTGACGGCCTTGGATTTCCCTCAGGCAACTCTACTTTACCTGGTGCAAACTAAGCTCATTATTTTCCTTCAGAAAACCCTATCCTGTCTCCTACATTCTCCATCTCAGGAGATGGTCTTTAAATTCACTCCATCTCCAAGCTAGAAATCCAGCTGTCATCCCTAAACCTGTCTCTCTCTCGAACCGCCAATCCATACCATCACTAAACGCTGTTCATCCTATCCCAGAAATGGCTTCCGACCCATGCCTCCTTTCATTCTCGGGCTCCCCTTATCGCTTACCTGGACTGTGGCTCCTCATATCCTAGCCTCCAGTCTCCTCTCCTGATCCTCCTATTTACCTTTCACACTGAAACCAGGGTTATTCCTCCTGTGAACCAAATATGACCATATGACCCTGGATTTAAAAATTTCTCTGCTCTCTCCTGATTGCCTGGCTTATGGATGCAGTTCAAGCTCCTTAGCTTGACAGCTCAAATTATTTATCCAAATTTAACTCTCACCATTCTGCCACACACAATTTAGGCTCCAGTTAGACTTGTACTAATTTATTGAAATACCTTGCCCTTGGGACTCCCCCTTTGCCTACACATTCCTTCTTCTGGAAGTACCCTTCCTGCTTTGAAAAAGTCCTGCTTATTCTTAAAATTCAGCCCAATGCCTCCCTCTCTATAAAGCCTTCCGTCACTCTGCCCTGATATGAATTGCATCACCTCTTGTGCTTTACCCACAGCTCTGCTAACGTTCTTAAAACTTCTTGTACTTCTCCCCTCCCTGAGAGACCCTGGACTTCTCTGGAGCAGGAACTGTGTCTCAAGAGTCAGCACCTACTACAACGGTAGATGATCAATACATACTACTGGAATTCATCACTTACAAGGTGAACTCAGCTTAAGCACCACTTGCTGGGTGAAACCCAAAATTGCCCTTCTTCGCAAAGTCTTTAGAAAGGGCCATGGATTGATAGGAGAGGGGCAAAGTGAGAGACTGTGTACATTATTTTCTGTAATTTATTTGAAAATGCTCAGTAATGACCAGGGGCAGCAACCTCTGGGGGCCAAATTTGAGTCTTCATCTGTTTTGCCTGAAATAAGTTTTATTCCTTTATTTATTTATTCATTTGCCTGAACACAGTCATATTCATTCATTAAGTACTGGCTACGGTGCTGTTGCTCTGCACAGACAGAGCTGAATAGTTGTAACAGAGATCAAATGGCCAGCAAGACCAAAAAGATTCACTATATTGCCTTTTATAGAATGAGTTTGCTGGCTGATATAAACCATGTGGTATAAATGTGTGTGTTAATGTCAATCAGCAATCCAGGGGAGGTCTCTTGCCCTAACTGAAATTATCCATCTCAGGGATCGATAGTATTTAATTAAATAGAAATATATTAGAGGCCTTTCTTTCCTTTTTTGGAACAGAGTATACAAATCTAGTCTGTCCCCTTAGGAATGGCTTCCTAGGCCTGATTTCTCAATGGCTCTGGGTCCACCTATTGATCTGGAGATTCCTCAAGGCCTTAGTCCAACTAGACAGCTGAATCCTGATGCTAGAATATTGTTGCACTAGCTCATGATGAATCTTTCATGTCCATGAAGACTTCACAAAAGGACAGAAGAGGGACTTCATTGAGCTTACAGAACAGCGTCATGACAGGTATGTGCCTGCTTGTTAGAGGATGTCCATTATGTGTAGTAAAGATGAGTCTAGACATGCTTTGTTGTAACTTGGTGGGCAAGAGACTACAACACCCACTGACCAGTAATTATGGGAGGCTCTCCAATTTTGACCTAAAAGAACCTAGTAATTGCTTGTAACCTGATTGGCTGAGCTCAGTGCCCAGAAGCTGGCTATGAGAACAGTCGCATTTGTCACAATGCATTCAGGAGGCAGTTCTCTGTTGATCTGAAATGAAGCATCCACCAAGCACCAAATGCATGCATAGCCTCCCTCCCAGTCTCCATCTCAGCACAGGAGGTGGAAGCCAAATGAATAAGAGTGTGGCTTGGATTGAGGCATAGTGGGAGGTTGAACATTGTGTATACTTTGAAGGAACTTGAGAGGATGCAAAAATGGACAGTGGGTACACAGACAGATGAGAAAGAGTTGGGACCTGTTGTGAAAGAATCTGCGTAGCATGGTGAGTGGGTGGTTCAAATAGTATAGGGCTAATCTGTTCTAGGGTATATAATTACTTTGGTGGTGGCAGGGGTCTAATAAAACTATTATTTGCAACATTTAATAAATGTTTACTTATCATATGAAATGAAAACGTAGAAATATTTTAACATTTTATCTTCATTCTCATCAGAGCTAGTTCAGAACTAGAAATCTGGAGACAAAGTGCTAATATTTAGATCCAAGGACCTGAAACTACACATACCTCAGCTGATTCTTGGGCAGTGCAAAGCAAGATGTTCTTTGATGTCAAGCAGATAGAAAACACAATGTTAAGCTCGCAAATTAAGCAAGACAGTTACTTACTGACTCAGGTATTTCTTTCTGAGGCTCTGGAGTGGAAATGCTGAGTTCTTCCCCTGAGATGCCAAATCCAGGTTGAGGTTGTGACAAATTCAAAATTTGAGAGAGGTGGGCACTGATAGTCATACAATGTTTTTTAACCAGCTTTTTCTTCAGGGTTTCTTTTAAAAGAGAAGTAGAAAAGGGAGATAGCAGGAAAAGGAAACATTACTCAAAACCTGTTTAAAGAGATCTACATTCTCCTTTTAATAAACAAACTTTCCCATCACTTTGAACTAAGTTTCAAAGCATTTTTACATCATCAGCAGGAGGCCCTCTAAAATAATTTAAATAAATTTAATAATATATGAAGGCTCAAATAAGCAAAAGAATGACTTAAGTGCTTGCTCATAGAAAGCATTGGTTAACTCTGAACTATTGTGTGGAAGGGGCATATCTCACCCTTAGTAAGTTTAATGTGTGGGTTTAGGGAATAGCAAAAGGCTGGCCAGCCCAAAAGCAATATCCCTCTCTCGCTGGAACAAGTTACTAACTCCTTTGGTTTAGGTGATAAAGCTTTTCAATTAACTTGTCTCTCAAATGTGCAATACTTCTGGTCATCCTAACATGTTAACAGCCCAGTGAGATTGAATATATCAGACAAACCCAATAGTCACCCAGCCGAGTGTTAAGGAAATGGAACCCCAGGTTAAAAAGGTCTGAAGAAAAGCGTAACTGGAAAGTGGGAAGGTTCTGACTATGGCACGCTGCTGTTAGCGCAGGCCATGCGGGTACCAGGGTGGGCAGGGAACAGCATGAGGCAAGGAGGGTCCGTGCCAGGCCCTGTGACACCCCACTCCCAGGGGATAGAGAAGAAAGGACTGTGCCAAACCGAAGCTTGCAAACACGTTAAGCATAAATTTTACCTCCTTCACAAGCTTATCGGGTGTGGGCCCTGCCAGAATGAATGGTCAGTTTCTGAAGAGCTGGAACATGTTTCATTGTAAAGCAATAGTGACCACACTTCAATCTTGGGTGAGAGAGTATCTTAGAATGCCTCTTTAGGAAATATCCGTTCACGTGAGAGGGTAAAGTAGCGTGGGGAAACCCATCACCTTAGCGCTGACTGCAGGATGAATATTCAAAATGTTGCTCTGTCAGATAAACTCCTGGTATCAACTTATTTACTCATTATCTGTTTTCATAAAAACAGAGAATGTTCTGTTTGAAGAAACTTGGGAGGGTACAAAAATGGCCAGTTGGGTATACAAACAGATGAGTAAGAGCTGTGACCTGTTATGAAAGAACCTACATAGAATGGCGAGTGGGTGGTTCAAATAGTACAGGGTTAATCTGTTCTAGTGTGCATGAGTTGGTGGTCTAATAAGAACAGAGTATACAATAGAATAATCTTAGTTACTCTGTCTTTAGGTTACTGTAACTTTTTTTAATTCATCATGCACTTAATTCATTTTGATTCTGTGATTACTCTCTGCCTTGCTGCTGGCTTGCTCCACCTCTTATTCAGATTAGGTCACTTTTTGAACACTAATCTTAGCGATACCCCCAAGGTCTATTCATCCATGTTCTTCAACCATAGATACATCAGTGAACTTCAAGACCAACTCAACGCTTGTTACTAATGAATAAAGACAAGGGATTATACTCTCTAAATTTGATAATACTAAATGCTTTTACCTTCTGAAGTTTATGTTACAATTTAATGTTTGCATAAGCCTCCTTTGCTTCCCAATTTCCATTTTTGTTCAGGATAATCCAGTGATGCGGTACTTGGAAGAAGAACATAAGTGTCTTTGCCTAGAGCTGACTCTTACCTTGCAGAGTAATGAAGTCATGAAATAGATAAATGTGCTCCTTATCGGTAGCAATTAGAGTCATTTCTTGGTGGAACATTTTGAAGTTGGGGTCAGTTTTCTTCACCACCCCAAACACAAATATTTCCACATTGGCGTCCCTGGCTTGCTTCACCTCCTCTGTCAGATTCTTTTGATCTCGGAGATCTGTCTGCCCATCCGTGATGACCAAGGCCACTTTCTTTACACCTGGCCTTGCGGCTTGAAACATTTGGTTGGCGGCATGGAGAGCTGTGGCCGTGTAGGTGCCTTCCCCCAGATACTGCATGTTGTCCACAGCCAGCTTGATGTCAGTCTTGCTGGAGAACTGCATCAGGTTAGCCACCCTCTCCACCTTATGGCTGTAGTTGATTATGCCGACGCGGACTGTGGTAAGGTCCAGAGCAACCTGGTCGATCAGAGTCTTCACGGAATTTTTGATGATCAGGAAGTTATCTGTCCCCACACTTTCTGAGCTGTCAATCACAAACAGCAGCTCTAATGGAGCCTCTTCGCATTTCAGCCCACAATCTAAAACGTGAGTGTCAAGACAGAAACATTGCAGGAATGAAACTCAAAACGTCGCTCATTAATAGCAGATGGATGTGGGGGGGCGGGGAGCAGTGATGAGAGATGGGCACAGGTGAACCTGAGACCTGGACTATTACCCTCCTTTTCTTTGACCGTGAACACAGCTGATAACCATCTCCCCTCTGGTTTCCATACCTGACTCTTTTTAAAAAATAATTTCTTAAAAAGAAACTACAAATGACAAAATAATACACACTATGTGCCAATTTCTCAGATTAAAAACTAAAACATTTTTAGAGTCCGCATCCCCTGTCTATCTTCTGATTACATTCGCCTTCCTCTCCCAAGAGATAACCACTATCCTAAGATGATCATTCCACCATGTTCATTTAATCTGAATCTGGAAGCTAATATTTCAGTCTTTAGCCATATCTTCATATGAGAGCAGAGATTGGCTCATTGGCATGGCCAGTGGGTAAAGTAATGGGATGGAAAATTTTAATTGTGAGGGAAGGATTAGAGCTTTTAACTGTATGCAAGAATAAAGAATAACTACTCTGGTTTATGCCCCCAGTCACCCACAATGTCAACTAAGGTGGCTCCCATCCTACCAGTGAGGTCAGCATCCATCCACACTATGAGGTCTTTTGAGGGCAATGAGATTGCTGGTTAATAAACAACTTCTTTTTAGGGTTTACCATTCAGAGCAGTTGTCAGAGTCCCAAGGCATTCAGAATTATCTGGGATCCATTGGTTTATCCATACTCCTATTACCCAACAAACCTACCACAAAAAATCATGAGGAAACTTCGTGCTGATTTTACAGAACTTCTGGAACTCAGAAGTCACATCTAAATTGGACTGTTGCTATACAGAGTCCAAGGTTGGCCCAGAAGTCTTTCGGGTGATAAACCAGTTCTGGAATTCTCTGTATGGGAGAATAATGATATTCCTGCTTCTGTCCTCTTAAACACAGAAGGTTCTTCTATCTTTCTTATTCCATTGACTCTCTTGCTTTTTGGCTAATCTCTTTACTTCCTCCTTCTGGTCACTCTATTTTAAGTCTAAGGTATTTAGCCTAATATGTAGAAGCATTTAGATATGGTTGTGCAAGAGGACCTCCCGACTCTGTCCCCTCCCTTTCAGGTGGGATGTAATTTAGAAATAGTGCTCAAAACAAAATTCAGAAAGACATCTGGCTTTAGGGAAAATGCAGGCATAATAGTCCCCAGCCAGGCTGGACTCAAACACTAGTTAGGCCACTATGGTTCTATTTCCTTTGTTATTTTTTCTTCCCAAGCTCAGGTAAATGTCACTGAATATAAATAAGTTCTGTGCTTAAAAGGGCTTGGCTGCCCACAGACTCTAAGCAGGTATCTTGGTGCTTCTTGCCCACCCGGGAGGTGACTTCCTCAAATCAGAATTCCCACAGCTCATCTCGCTGCCTCCTTTCAGCTTCCCTCTGACTTTTCAGATGAGCTTTAAACTCTCCACAAGCTCTAGAATATACATTTTCTCGGTGAACACATTATCCTAACCGACACAGAACACAGTGGGGTTGGTACTTTAAAGGGTTGTTTTTTTTCTCGGTAGTCAAATCTTACCACATATTTCAAAAATCAGTTTGATAATTTCTTCTTTCTGGAGGAAACAAAAGGAATTTGTATTAATTGTATGACCATAATATTTTTCCTGTAGTCATAAAAGATATGTCTTATTACAGTCAGCATGGGGTCATTTGATTTCATCCTTCCACTGCAGAAAATAAAATAAATAGCACAGAGTTAAAAGGTGGCTATAATATATCATCACTGAAATGCGTTGGAGATGTGAAATGTAATAGCTCAGACTTTTGGAGTGCAAACCGTGGCTCCAGCATTTATCAGCTGTATGACCTTGGGCACTAGGTGACTTAACAGTATCTGTGTCTTAGAGCTGTGGATGGGTGATTAAACAAGGGAACACAAACGGGTCTCTTAGCACAGGGTCCGGCCCCACCAAGTAACCCCCACCTTCCCCAGTTTCACCTTCCACGGTTTCAGTTACCTGTGGTCAACTGCAGTTTGAAAATATTAAATGGAAAATTCCAGAAATAAATAAATCGTAAGTTTTAAATCGCACGCTGTTCTGAGTAGCACGATGGAACCTTGTGCTGTCCCACCCCATCCTGCCCAGGACGTGAACCATCCCTTTGTCCTGCGCATGCACTTGGTTTATGCTCCCCTCCCCCTGCCTCCCCACTTTAGTCACTTAGTGGTCGACTAGGTTGTCAGACTGACTACCGCTTGAGTTCAAGGAACCCTTATTTTACTTACTAATGGCCCCAAAGCACAAGAGGAAGTGATGCTGGAAATTGGATATGCCAAGGAGAAGCTATAAGGTGCTTTGTTTAATTGAAAAGGTAAAAGTTCTTGACTTAACGAGGAAAAAGAAATCCTATGCTGAAGTTGCTAAGATCTACAATAAGAGTGAATCTTCTACGTGTGAAACAAGATATGTTAAAAGAGAGATCACATTCACATAACTTTTATTACAGTATATTATACTTATTGTATTTTATTGTCTGTTTTATTGTTAATCTCTTACTATGCCTACTTTATAAATTAAACTATGTCATAGTTTATATGTGTGTATGTATAGGAAAAACATAGTATATATAGGGTATTGTATGGTTTCAGGCATCTGCTGGGGGTGTTGGAATATATTCCCTGTGGGTAAGGGAGGGGAACCATGGGTACTACCCACAATGGTGTGAGTAATGCATGTATTCAGTTACATGATTTAACCCACAGGTGCTGAGCAACTAAAACAAGCACCATGGCCAACAGAGAATGTCTTCTTTGCTGTATCCCCCCCTGTTTTTCTGTACCACTCTGCAGTTTTGCAAGTCCCTTCCCCAGCTTCCTAATCCTCTCTCTTGGCTCTTTCATGAAATGCCCCAGTGTTCAAATGCTCCTTCTTGGTCCTGATGCCCACTGGCTCCCTCAGAAGGGCCCGCAGGAGCTGGTACCAGAAGAGCCTCCACCGATGCCCCACCCTGAGTGGCATGCTTACAAATAACTGGCATGAAACTAGAGAAGGCAGGGCTGTTCATTTGCCAAAGACAGGAAGCTGACAGGGATGATTAACTAATAGATGAAAGAAACAGGAGCCCAGAAAATCTTGACAGGAAGGAACAGTGGACCTAATTTAAGAAGATAAAACCTAACAGTTGCAAAAACAAAGTTTTAAAGAAAAAATCTATGATGACAGAATTGGGGTGAAGGTGACGTTGTTGGTGTCAAGACTTAATAGAATACGTATGGGAATGTTCAGGGCATTTTATTTTAATTTTTTTTTTTTACCATAAATTAAGTAGAAGCCAATGATTCCAAGTGGCTATTTAAAAAGAAATCCCAGTTTGATATTAACAAAATTATATAAAATGAGGGAGTTAACAAATATCTTTTTTTTTCAGGTTATGACATGCTTTTTCACATTTGCTGAGGCATTTAAGAAATCTGAAACTAGAATGGATATAGGAAGGGGAGATGTATATGTTTATTTATGTATCCTAGATTCTCACTGGATATAAATTCTCTTTTTCTTCACCCTTCCCTTCCTGCTCATTCCTTTTTCTAGAATATGGAAAGCCAAAGCAGAAGAACCATATCCCCATTTCCAAGATCTCTGCCTCTTGGTTAAAAACCTTCTGTGTAAGAGCTAAAAGCCTGTCTTGCCCCCAAACATCATCATATATCATTTTGCCTGCTCCAGGCCCACATATCCACTTTTATCACAGCATTTATCAGGCTGCTGGTGAACATCCTTTGTTTGACTTTCTACTGGGCTGTGAGCTCCCTGAGTCCAGATACACTCTTATTCTCCCAGCGTCTCTTTCAGAGCCTGACCTGGAGTACATGCCCAATACGCTGTTGGTGAAGTGAATGAACAGATGAATGGATGAAGGAAACAAGCCCCTCCCCGTGGTAGACTAGAAAGGAAGGTATAGACCTATGGGGTCCATTTCTCTGGGCATTTTGTGTACATTCTCCCCAGCTACTTTTGGGGAGGAATTGCTGCATATGTAGCCACTTCATTCCCCACAGACATCCTGGGCATAGAGGAGTGGGGATTGACTTGTGATGGGGAAGAACAAACAGATAAAGGTAGATGGGCCATAAAAAACAAACAAACAAACAAACAAAAATTGTGCAGTTCTGTTTGTCACAGCCCTGCTCTCATCTCTCACCTTTACTGCCGGAACTCCCACCCCCTCACAGCTGGATTTTCCCAGCACAATACCTAGAATCAGCATCACCAGATCCAGACCATGATCCCCAAAAAAATCAAAAAGGGAAAAAAAAGAGAAGGTTCCTATTTTTTCTCCATTCCAGAAGATACAGTGCCTTCAAGTCAGAAAGGAAGAATTAGACTTTGCTATAAAAATCCTGGAACTTTTCCACCCTGTGGGATGTCAAAGGGTTGGCATTTTGTTTGCAGGGGTGTAGGGAGACAAGTAGGGAACAGCTTATAAAGGCTTCACAAATATTTGTCTTAGTGATTTAGTACATAAAAATATTGCAATTGTTGTCCTTTGCAGAGCACCTCCTAAAGGAACTAGTTGAGGGAAAAAGAGCCCCCATTCTGAAATGTGAAGGCTCATGTAAAATAGTCAGTCAGTCATTTGGCTTCTTGTAAACAGCTCACCTTGTTACCGTTTCTACCAGGAATCAGAGGGGAATGGTCCCAAGTCTCCACCGTGAGGCCAGATAAGGGTTGGGCGATATTTCTCCTTCACATTCAGATTCAGTTACCTCATGCATCTACGTCAACACTGGGGTTGTTAGCAGTGCTAACATTCAAACAGCAGATGGAACTCTGCATCAAAAAAATTCGTACTTCTAAAGCTAAAACCTGAGTGTCGTAGCTTTGCAAGCGCCCTCAGTAAGGCTCTAGGAGTGACACTTACTGTAAGTCCTTGGTCTCCTTTTGGTCCCTGCAACCCCTGCTTAGCGGAAGAAGAGTAACAGTCAGCATAGGTTAGAACAGGTTAATGTATAAAATTACAGCAAGACTTTAAAACTCATTTCTTGCCTGTTCTCCTGGCGATCCGGGCTCTCCCATTTCCCCTTTGCTGCCTTTTGCCCCCTTCTCACCCCGTTCTCCGTGCTCCCCCTTTAGAATGTAGTAAAAAGATAATATTAAGAATGTGAAATTTAAAGCCAAATAAGAGCAACTCTAAAATTTTGTTTATTTATAACTGGTATCTCTTGAAGACCTGCAGTCCTTGTTGATACGAATGTGTGATTAAAAAAAAAAAAAATCATGGGCATTCTATTCACATCCCCGCCTCCCAGGTACCATAATCTAGTTCAGCATGGACCAGAGATCTCGAAGTGAAGACGCCTTGAGATGCCATCGGGTCAGCTCACTGTCTTCAGGAAGTTCAACTATTATATAATTTTACACCTGAGTTATCTGGTATCTTTTACATGTTATATTTGTAAGAATTTATTCCTTTATCACCCGGCTTTTGAGAATGAAGGAAATGAGATTTTATAAAGTAAGCATGTTCACAGTTAAGAAAGAAAATACAAAAGGATTGACTTTCAAATGGATTTGTTCCTCTGAGAGTTTTGTAAAAAGAAGAGTAACAAGTATATGAGAGCTCTTCCAGAGTTTAAGTCAAGCAATTGAGATCCTAAGCCTATGGATGTGTTCAAGGTCCTGAAATACTTACCTTCTGGCCAGGAAAGCCGCGGCCAGTCGTGCCTTTTGGCCCCGGAAAGCCTTGAGGTCCTTGCTCTCCCTACACATCATGTGAGAAAAGGATATTTCTGTTAATCTTCTAAGAAAACTCAGAATATTCTTTGGGTGAGATATATACTTGCAGTTTCAATAGTGCATTACAGCATTATCTAAACTTGGGGTGAAATGTGTTTGTCAGATGGGCTCAGTGCTCTGCTAGTAAAAGTTGAATGGCTGAGAGTGCAATAGAAGTGAGGCAACTGGTTTATCAAATGTGCCCATTTCTGTGGTGTAAATTCCCCCACCTTGTCCTGTTTCAAACTATGAACATCACATCAATTAGTTCTCACAGAAAGATCAGTTGTTATTTTAATCGTGACACTGATGGTGATTTTTATAATCTTTATATTTTTTATAAATTTTATTATATGTCAAAAGAAGGAGTTATCTTCACAATGGACACTCAGAGGATATAATAGCATCTGATGAATGTCAAGGAGTTGTTTATATAACTCATCAACACTCAGATTCCAAGCTGGAGATCTGAGCAGAAGAAATGAGAGGAGAAAAATCTGTTCTGCTTCCAAAGACTGCACTGCTAACACACAGGTGCAATAAAATGGAATGGGCAGGAATGTGCAGGTAACGCAGCCCAACCTCATTACACCTACTGGGAAACATGCTTTCCTAAGAATCCATCTGCAGCTTCATCTTGAGTTTGAAGGATAGAAGCACCTGCCTACATACAGACTAGGCGGCCGGCCCATAGAGTGTTGTGAAGGTCAGTGGAAAGATACCTACCTGAGAGTCTCCCATTCTCTCCTCGAATTAATTAAAAATCAAAGAAAGTATGAGAAAGATATCCTCTTAAGAAGGATGTATCAGTAATGATACTTCGGCATAAATTCGTTTTCTCAGGATTTTTCTGTGTGTGTGTGTGTTGAGGTAACTGAGGACTTCTTTGTTCAACTATGTACCTGGTTAAAAGGTAGCTGGTTGTTGTCCAGGAGATGCATGAGGCCACTGGTTGAGGGGTCAAGAGGGTGCCTAGTCAAGTGTAAGGGAGAACAAGGTTTATAGGAGAACACTAAAAGGAAATCTGTGGTTGGCTTTGTCCCAACCCCGAAGGACAGAGCAGTGTGACAAAGGAGCTAGGGTTGCAGTGTGATGGTAAATTACCACCAGGAATTATGTATTTAGACAAAGTGGGTCCAGAAGGGACTCGATGCTTTCTGACAATTACTCAGAATAATTATTTCTTTTACAATCTTCCAGATTCCTAAAGCAGCTGATACAGAAAATGTTCAATAACTGTTTACTACTAACTAGCCGCTCTTAAGAAATGACACAATTGCCTAACAAAGTTAACAGCTGCTATGGCTTCATTGATATGCCCCGAGGGAAAAACCTCAGAGTAGCCAATTATCATGTTAGGGTCAGCTCCATGTTAAGGAATTTATTTTGCATTACTTCACAATATAGACATTTCATATATAATTTTTAACATCGTAGCTATTCCAGGCAGCTGGGTTTCCTTTTAATAAAGATTTTTTCCCCCTGTTTAATCACCAGTTTCCCTTCAAAATAGTTAAAGGCTTTCTATAATTTTCAGAGCAGACAATCTGGCTAAAAGCCTTTTGCAAGTAAGTCCATGCCTTAGCTTGGCAGGGGTGAATGCTATCCAATCAGATTTTTTTTTTCCTTTACAAATGTCAGGAAAATGATATACAATGATTTCAGCATGGGTCAGAAGCAACTGCAGGAAAGAACCTGTCTATCTGAAGGTATAATTAAATCTAAATGTCAAACTTGGCTTCTTAACCACTGTATCTGACTCTTGGATCTGTCCTGTGAAAGATGTGATCTTTTTAACTTTTCATACCATTGCTTGTTCTCTGGGAGAGAACTTTCTAAGGAGGATGCCCAACTACCTGAATATTTTAATAGATCTTTTTTCATTACTGATACCTCAGGAAAAAAATTTTCTTTCCAAATGTTTTCTCAGTAAGGTAAAATTCATTAGATAATAAAAAAAATGTAAAGAGATAGCTATCTTCTACTCAGGGTATAGAAAACCAGAAAAAGGCTGCTTTTATTCTTAAAACAACAACAAAACTAATGCTCACTAATGAAATCACAACTTTCCTTCAATCCATGGCAGAACTGTGGTTGCAAGGCAATGCACTAACTCGTCAAGGAGAGATAGGACCCTGGCCCTCACCTGCCGGAAACACAGATGTCACACAGGCAGGTAGGAAGAATTCAACAACCATTTTTAACAAATCGCTCAAGGCTGAGTGTGGCTCGTGTGAGAGGCTAGAACCCCTGGGAGCTTCAGGCACAAGGGAAATTCATACCCGCTCACAGGCTTTCTCCCCTGGGGACCTCATCAATGCTCGAGAGAGAGAGAGACTGGAGCAGGGCAAGTCCCGAGGCTCCTGGTGGAGCAGGCCTGGGGGGCAAAGGCGGGGCAGTGCAGGCAGCCGTCCTCTGGAGAAAGGCCCGAAGCCCTCGCTGGGACAGCAATCTTCAGCTGCTGGGGAAGGTGGAGCAAACACTGCCACTCTGAGGGCACAGATGACAGCCCATAGCAGCTGGTGGAAGGAAATAGAATAAAACCTGAAGAAGTACATGCTGGGCTCAGACTTTTAGAGGTACATTATTCCTTTTGGGGCAGGGGGGCGGGGGTCAGGAAACCATCCTCAGCCCAGACCTTTAGAGGCCTCCTATGTATTTGCTGGTACTCATAGAACTGTATGTACTTGAAGGGGCATGGGGCTTTTTTCTGCATTTAGTCCTTTACTAAAAAATTTAAAAATTTTTAGTTAAAAAGAATTAACAGAACACTTGGCAAATTAAAAAAGGTCTGTTGGTTAAATACTAGTATATTAACACAGCCATGAACCTCTAAAGATATTTCAGGCAACGACAAACTGCATATACCGTGGTGGTCCCATAAGATATTAATGGAGCTGAATTTCCTGTGAGAAATGGAAGGATATGTGGTTCAGGAGGAATTTTGTTGTTGTTGTTCTGTTGAGAGCAATATCTGTGAGGCTTGGGGATAGATTCCTTCTCGCTCAAAGCACCTTAGTTTTGAGAGCACAGATTACATCCCAAGCAGTCAGCCACTGACCTGTTTCAGCACAGAGGAGCCTGCTGCATCTACCCCCTGCCGCTACATACTCAAAGGGTTCTACCCTCCTCCCAAATCTAGCCTGATGGTCTGCAGGGTACACTGCTATAAATTCTTTGTTAAGGACCTAAGGTTCTGTACAAGGACATGGGTCCACAGGAGCTGCCTTACAAGTACTAAGTGTCACAGCCACTGTAGTAAAAGCTTTCTGTGGTTAGCATGGAGCCAGCCTGTCCCTGTACTTTGGAAATATTTTTGGATTGTAACGATGTGAACCGATAAGTTTTATTTTCTCCATCAATTCAATGCCAGAGAGAACTCTCTGTGCCAGGGAGGGTCAATGGAACCAAAAACAAGTTTCCAAAATCAAATTATTGAGTCCTCAGTTCTACCTCCTCTCCACGTTAAGCACCCTCTATTTTTATGAATACCACGAAGTTCCTTCATCCGGCCACTGCTCCAACGTGCAATAGCCAAGACCACATTGCCGTGACAGTGCCCTGAGATCCTTTCTGTCTCCATCTGGATTTCTCACTCCTACTGACTCTCAGGCAACCATTCACTCCCCCCGCCCCCTGCCTCCCCGACAGTCACTATTATGGTGTCTACGCCTTGTCCAGCCACCTTCTCCTCGATATTTCCAATCAGCCCAGCCCACGTCCACGGTCATGGAGCAGCATTGACAGCTCTTATGTTCCATTTCTAACCCTGTCAGAAGGAGGGGGGTTGAGGGACCGCGATTGTAACATCAGCAGGGGTGTGCAGTAACGTCCTAGGCTTTCTCATTCTCTCGCCACTCACTCACCAACACACCCAGAGCAACTTCCAGGTCTGTGGGCTCCATTCCTGGTAAGTGCCCTACACAGGTGTACCATTTGCTATCTTTTATACCATATTTATACTGTACCTTTTCTATGTTGAGATGTTCAGATGCACATATACTTACCATTATGTTATAAGTACCTACAGTATTTACTACAGCAACATGCTGTACAGGCTGGTAGCCTAGGAGCAACAGACTATATACCATATCACCCAGGTGTGTAGTGGGCTATGCCTTGCAGGTCTGTGTAAGTGTACACTGTGATATTCCCACGATGATATAATCACTTAATTATGCATTTCTCAGAACACATCCCTATCGTTAAGCAACACACGACTGTAATTTGCTGACATTTATAATTTTACTGTGTTATGTGAGCGAACATGCTTGTTTGCATGGAAAGTATTAAATATTTGGGGTAAATACTACAGCTTGCTCTCAGGTGTTAAGAAAAATAATGTTTGTGTATACACAAGCACACACCATTTGATAAAGCCAATGTGGGATGTTAACCTTTAAGAAATCCAGGTAAACAGTGCATGGGAATTGATTTTTTTGTACTATCTTACAACTTTTTCGTAAGACTGTAATTATTTCAAAATAAAGTTAAAAATTAAAATAATATATAAAACGAATGAATGAATGCACTAAATGGTTGCAAAGAAGATATCATCTCTCAGTGCTAAAGGAACTGAGGCATATGGGTATACAGGCACTTTACCTACCCAAAGTTGGGAACCCATAGGTTAAAAGAACACCAAGAGACCTAAAGCAAAGCCACAGTTGTGGCTTTCTCCCTACTCAGAGACAACTTTTGCTCTTTTTTTTAATTGTCACCCAAGGTCATTTTTTTTTAATTGCTTAAGAGAGAGAGAGAAAGACATCAATGCACGAGAGAAACAACTGGCTGCCTTCTGCACATGTCCTGACTGGGGGATTGAACCCTCAACCTAAGCAGGTGCCCTGGCTAGGAATTGAACCCACCACTTTTTGGTTTACACGACGATGCTCCAATCAACTGAGCCAGACCGGCCAGGGAAACTTTTGCTCTTTGAATTCAGGAGGCTTATAAGGTTACCCAAAACCTCTTGTCCCAGGATTT